TCCATCTGGCATTGGGTTCCCTTAGGTTCCCTGCTCAGCCAGGAACTTGCTTCTTCTCCCTCTCCCACTACCCCTGCTTGTGTTCCCTCTATTGCTGTATCTGTGTCAAATAAATAAATAAATAAATAAATCTTTCAAAAAAAAAAAAGAATATATGTCTGCATTTGCTTATTATCTATACACTATCAGTTGCCTATAAGTTCCCCATCTGTAAAATGTTGGTGATGGGATTTCATTAAATATTGCAAATATTAGAACAGTGCCTGGCACACGGAAGTATCATTTTACTTGGATTCTCAATCCAAATAATTCCTTAGCTTAATCATATTCTAAAATACCCCTTTAAAGATCATTTTCACCTGGCACAGGCAAGATGAAAAAGCGTCAAGCCACAGCAAAATGTAATTACTTAAAGCTGTTTTAAATTAGGCCCAATAGCAGAGTGATTAGCCAATACTGAAAGATGTTTGGTGAACCACAATTATAGATATCAAAGAACTATTGCAGTTCACCCCTTTACTAAGTTAATAATTAAAATCCTTTTTTTCCCCCTAAGAGGGGTCATGCAGATGTTTACTACAATGTATTTTAACAGTTTGCTACTGTAAATGGTATGAACAACTTTAAGGAAAATCTTAAACTAAATGCGATCTTAGATTACAACCCCAAACTATTATTTACCAATCTCAACAATGTTACTGTTACCTTTTTAACTTCAAGTTAGTAAAGGGCATACCATATCTGCTATAAAGTCGTGGGGAGAGAAACTGCATTGGGATCATGCTCAAAACACGGGGACTAGGGAAAACGGCTTTTTAAAATACATAATATTTGCCTCAGTGGCCACGCCAAGGTAACGAGAACCGACCCCCACCCTGAGCCACGTGGGGTTTTCTGTCTCCTCCTGCGCGCTTTCTTCCGCAGTGAGAGGATCCAAGAAAGTGACCTCAAGGTGGGGGGCGTGTCCGGGGGCGGGCCGGGGTAGCCTCTGTGCTGCCGGGACCCGAACCGGCGGGTCCCGGGTCGCCTACAGGTGTCCCAGCACACAGCCAGCGCGGGTCGCTCGGCCGCGGGAGTGGGCGAGCGGGCGCTAGGGAAGGGCGGCCCGGTGTCCTCCTCGCCGCTGGGAATCGCGGCGTACTACCGGCGCCGCCCAGACCCGCTTCCTCTGAATCTGGGTGCGCCCGGAGCTGCGCGAGACTCCTGGAGACTCGCGTTCTCGTTGCGCTCTGGCCCGGACCAAGGCGAGAAGGTCCAGGACCTCTGCCCTCCTAGAAAAGGCCTGCGGCTACTATCTAAATCTAATTCTCAATATAGCTCGAGATGCCCCCACCCTTCAAAAGGCTGGGCCATTATCGCGACATGAATAAGAGCAACTAGTCAGTGGTGCCCAGTAGGTTACTTAGATAGAAATTAAGGAATTATGTATCATCTTGCTTTTCCTCAGATTGTATTTTTAAAAAGGATCCTCTATAAGGTATTTATAAGTACCTTATATACTTTATATACTTACCTGCAATCACAGGACCTTGGAGAAAACTTGCCTACAATCTGGGATGGCTTTGGAGTCATATTTCTTTAATTTTCCTTTCTCTCCTAGGCATAATAATGCCAAGTTCGGCTGTCTTTATTTGCTCCTGGAACGTTCTTGGGCCATTTTGTTACTTTATTTGCAATATTGGATTATTTTTTTTTTCCCACCATCCTAAAGAGCTGTAAGGAGGAAGTACTAGCAAAATTAAAAGGTGAGTCAGGAGTTGGTAGTTTTTACAAGCTCCTGTGGAAATGTTTGTGTGCATCCGTTAAAGAATTCCAGTGTCCAGCATAGTGCTGAATACACACACATATCTATAAAAATTACTGTTAGGGGCACCTGGGTGGCTCAGTCGGTTAAGCAACTGCCTTTGGCTCCCGTTGTGATCCCAGACTCCTGGGATCAAGTCCCCACATCAGGCTCCCAGCTCACGTTAGGAAGTCTGCTTCTCCTCCCTCTGCCCCTCCACCTGCTCCTTCTCTCTCTCTTGCTCACTCTCTCTCCAATATATAAATAAAATCTTTAAAAAAAATACTGTTAGAATTATAGTAAGTCCCTATTTTCAAACAATAATTCAAATGAAAGTACACATATCTCCAATTATTACAATTTTAGGATTGTATAAAAATACTTGTTTGCAATGTCACATTTTAATGAATTGTGCAGATTTCAGAGGTCACTTTTCTCACTTTTATTTTATTAAATGAAAATCATCTTTGATACTTCTCCTCTTACCAGCATCCACTTTCATTTTGACTTTTCTTAGATTAGAGGTTGATTACAATTTTGGATTCCATGTAAAGCTTTCAAGTACTCAACTTTTAGTCTTCTTTAGTGTTTGTTCCCTTCCCTCATGTCACTAACCCTTTGTTTACTTTTCCAAAATTTGCTATTCCTGTTAAAATATTTATATGACCTAGTATTATCTCCAATAATGTTCAAACCTCAACCATTTGAGGTTTGCTTAAGAAGGCATGGAAAATAATAAATCTAGGGATGCCTGGGTGACTCAGTCAGTTAAAGTCACTGCTTTCAGCTCAGGTCATGATCTCAGGGTCCAGGAATCCAGTCCTGCATCGGGTTCCCTGCTCAGTGGGGAGCCTGCTTCCCCCTCTCCCGCTAACCCGGCTTGTGCTCTGTCAAATAAATAAAATCTTTAAAAAAATTAAAAAAACAAAAAAGAAAATAATAAATCTAGTGTGGCATCCTAGTCTTAATCTGAATAACACAGGGTACATTTCATATTACTATGATGTACAAATATGACCGATTGTGGGAATTCAGTTTCAAAGAGAATAGTCATTAATATTTCCAAGGAAATAAGAGCAGAGGTATTTGCATTGTTCTATTGGTAGTGACTGATTTTAATTGGTATTTCTTACATTTTTATTATATTACAAACATTGACTAGCATACCAAGATGATTTTATTTCACATGTATATTACTGGGTAAGGGCACTAGGAAAATGCAATGTGAAAAAAGAATTTATGAAAGGAAAGAAGCTAGAAATATAGACCTAGAAAATGCTTTTTGGGGACGCCTGGGTGGCTCAGTTGGTTAAGCAGCTGCCTTCGGCTCAGGTCATGATCCCAGCGTCCTGGGATCGAGTCCCACATCGGGCTCCTTGCTCAGCAGGGAGCCTGCTTCTCCCTCTGCCTGCCATTCTGTCTGCCTGTGCTTGCTCTCTCTCCCTCTCTCTCTCTGACAAATAAATAAAATCTTAAAAAAAAAAAGAAAAAAAAGAAAATGCTTTTTGCTGGAAAAAGATTAGTTATGTGAATTTCTAAGTTACCTTAAATATGACCTAGTTTCTTTCATGAAAACTCAAAGTTAAAAAGAGAAAGCTAGATACCTGCTAATGAATAAAGAAAACTTATTTTTAGAAATTTATATCTACAAAGAGTGGTAAAACAAAAATATATAGCAAGGCTATTCTGAAAGACTTATTTTATTTACAAAGAAAAAAAAAGGATCTGGTGGTGAGAAGTAACTGAAAGCTATTCTACAATGAAATAGAAAGTAAGCACCATACAAGTTTGCCTTTAACTGCTTCCCAGTTGTTTTTTATATTAGTTTTCCTCTTCCAAATTGATTGTGGGTTCCTCCCCAAAAGGAAGTCTTTCTTTTGCACATGCCACAGAACTTCCCTTAGCCCTGGACACATAGTAGGTTTCAAGCAATTGTTAATAGATTGGCTGGAGGAGTTGCAGTGATGTTCCACACATGGAAGAGACATACTGATATAGTAACTAGCTCATTGAAAATAAAAGTTCTTTCTTGGAAGGAGTATTTCTCCGTCTGCCCTGATTGTCAACCAAAAAGGCTTCAGCTGGTTTCATCCTCGATTTATGCTAAAATTTACTTAGAATCAATAGGACGACAGAAAATGAATTCATTTATTTAAATGGGATAGGCTACTTTTTAGGAGTGATTTCACAGCAAGTGTTTGGAATAGTTAATTGGGTGGATAAGCTTTCTGATGCTGTAGATCTTAGTTTCTACATGAGATCATGTGGAAAGACTGAATCTGAAAAATTCCTTTTAGGTTTCTCATTCTAGCAATCAAATGAGTGTACACTGGAAAGAAAATGTACCACGAGAGTAGACACACACAGGGTCTTTTTATAGCGTAATAAAACTAGAGTTAAAAGGCAAAGTGTGGGATTGAAATCTATTCTAAACTGAAAAACCAGACGTCTGGAGTACCATATGGGGTGAACGTGTGATACGGGCTTCGATAAAAGCAGCGGGCTTTAAATGGAAAAAGCCAAGAGGCCAGCCCAAGATCATATTCGTCCTGGTCACCGCCACCGAGGTGAAGCCCTTAACGGATTCTCGGGCTGCGAAGGCGGCCCTTGGCGTCCACCGACCCTCCTGGCCCTGAGTGCTGGGGCCTTGTACTTCTCTCTAGCCCGGAGGGGATCTGAAGGCAGGGACCGGGGAGGAGCCAGCCCGGGACAGACCTGCGACGAGCAGAGGACGCGGCTCAAAGGGGCTGTCCCGGACCTTCGGGAGTACTAGGCTAAGAACTGGAGGGATATAGCATGGAGAAGAACACTCCAAATCTCCACAGCATCTTTGCAGTTAAACCAGGAACCGTAAAGGGAAGATTCTATACTTCCCGGCTGGGCCGCCTCCTCGCCGCCCCCACCCTCCCCAGCTGGAGCTAAGAGTAATTCATACAAAGAAGGACTCGCCTCTGCCTTGGGGAATCCCAGGGACCGTCGTTAAACTCTCGATAACCTAGAACCGAAGGATGGCTCGTCCCCAACCACTCGCTCTCGTCGTCATCGGGGTCGAGAGGAGCATGCGCGAGGCGATGTGAGCTCTTCAGTGGGCTGAGCGTACATCGCCCACGGTCCCCAAGACGTAGGGGGAGGGGACGGCGATTGAACCGGTGCCTGATGGAGTTGGCGCGGGGTAAACTGGGAAAGTGGTGTCGTGTGCTGGCTCCGCCCTCTTCCCCGAGGGTGGGGGAGGACCGTATATAAGTGCCGTAGCCGCCGTGAACGTTCTTTTTCGCAACGGGTTTGCCGCCAGAACACAGGTGAGTACCGGGTGTGGCCTCGGCGGGCTTGGCCTCTCAGAGCCGGCTCCGGCCCTCGCGTGCTTCTAGCAGCTGCTGCGCCACCGAGCTACTTTCCGATGTTCTTGACCCCGAATTTAGGGTTATGAGTGGGTGGGGAGGTTCGAGGCCTTGCGGTTTTTTTAGGACCTTCTTCGCCTCGTGGTTGGTTTGAGGCCTGGCTTGGCTGGTGTGGCGGCCGCGTGCGAGTTCCGCCGCACCTTATTCTGTGGTAACAGTCGTTTTGAGTCCAGACGTCTAGTTGATAAAAGCGTTATGGTTTTCTTCCGTCGACACAGTTTGGCGGAGGTTGGTCAGGATTTCAACTGGGTGGGCATTTTCGCGGTCCTCGGGTTCTTGGGGTATGGGGCCGCCGCGAGGCGCGGAGGGCGGCGACGAGGCCCTCTCGTCCCGGCGCACATGTACGACGAGGCGGGGGGAGGGGGCCCACGAGCCGTGGCCTCCGAGTCGGACGCTGGGGAGGCCCGTGGAGTGGGCCGGGCGGCTCTGATACCCAGCCTCGCGCGGCGATGTGCCGTCCCCACCACGGGCAACAAGGCCAGCCCGCTCAGCACCAGTTGCGTGCGCGGAAAGATGGCCGCTCTCCGGCCCTGCTGCAGGGAGCTCAAAATGGAGGACGCGGCGGCCCGGGAGAGCGGGCGGGTGAGTCACCCACACAAAGGAAAAGGGCCTTTCCCTCTTCGGCCGCTGCTTCCTGTGACCCTACTGTGTACCGTGCACTGTCTTGGCATCTCCGTTTCTCCTCAACGCCTTGGAAGCAGGCTTTCCTCGGAGGGGGGAGGGGATTTTATGCCGTGGAGTTAGCCCCACGCTTAGTGGGTGGAGACGAGAGTTGGGCCAGCTTGGCAGTGATTCTAATTCTCCTTGGAATTTGCCCTTTGCGAGTTTGGGTCGTGGCTTATTCTCAAGTCTCAGACAGTAGTTTCAAGGTTTTTTTTTTTTTTTAACCCTCCCTTCAATTTAGGTGTCGTGAAAACCACCGCTCAACCTAAGCCAGAATGGGGAAGGAAAAGACTCATATCAACATTGTTGTCATCGGACACGTAGATTCGGGCAAGTCTACCACTACTGGTCATCTGATCTACAAATGTGGTGGGATCGACAAAAGAACTATTGAAAAATTCGAGAAGGAGGCTGCTGAGGTAGGTACAATAACCGTAAGGAGAAAGATAGTTCAAATAAGTTAGCCAACAGGTGTTAACTGCCCCAAACTAGGCACTAGTTAATACCTGAACGTGTTACTTAGGGTGGAATAAATAGTGTTCCCTGTTCCAGTTCTTAGGTAACTCAAGGAAGTAAAAGCCATCTAATAGCTGTAAAGTGGAGTTTAGAGTCTGTGCTTAAGTGAGAGTAAGGGATTTCAGGTTGAAGTATGATTATGTTTAGTTACCTGGTAACCGTTCTTAATCCTTACAGATGGGAAAAGGCTCCTTCAAGTATGCCTGGGTCTTGGATAAACTGAAAGCTGAACGTGAACGTGGTATCACCATTGATATCTCCCTGTGGAAATTCGAGACCAGCAAGTATTATGTGACCATCATTGATGCTCCAGGACACAGAGACTTTATCAAAAACATGATTACAGGCACATCTCAGGTTTGTAGGGTTAATAACTAGAAAATAACTATAATGCTTATTCGGAAAAGGGGTGAGTTCATTGTTTGGAAAAATATTTAACGGGATAGGTCTTTTTTTCTTTTTAAAGGCTGACTGTGCTGTCCTGATTGTTGCTGCTGGTGTTGGTGAATTTGAAGCCGGTATCTCCAAGAATGGGCAGACCCGTGAGCATGCCCTTCTGGCTTACACACTGGGTGTAAAACAACTAATTGTTGGTGTTAACAAAATGGATTCCACTGAGCCACCCTACAGCCAGAAGAGATACGAGGAAATCGTTAAGGAAGTCAGCACCTACATTAAGAAAATTGGCTACAACCCCGACACAGTAGCATTTGTGCCAATTTCTGGTTGGAATGGTGACAACATGCTGGAGCCAAGTGCTAACGTAAGTGATGTCAAGACTTCTAGAGAAAGTGATGGGTCAAATTTTGACACTAAATGACTGTTTGGGGAATGCTAATGGACAATCTTGTTTTTAGATGCCTTGGTTCAAGGGATGGAAAGTCACCCGTAAAGATGGGAATGCCAGTGGAACCACACTGCTTGAAGCTCTGGATTGCATTCTGCCACCAACTCGTCCAACTGACAAGCCCTTGCGTCTGCCTCTCCAGGACGTCTACAAAATTGGTGGTAAGTTGAATATTTCTTAATCAGAATTTTAATTGTGTAGGTTGCTATGTTTTCTTACATAAGGTAGTTGACACCACACTTGTCAAATATTTTTAGGTATTGGTACTGTCCCTGTGGGCCGAGTGGAGACTGGTGTTCTTAAACCTGGCATGGTGGTCACCTTTGCTCCAGTCAATGTTACAACTGAAGTCAAGTCTGTTGAAATGCATCATGAAGCTTTGAGTGAGGCTCTTCCTGGGGACAATGTGGGCTTCAATGTCAAGAATGTATCTGTCAAAGATGTTCGTCGTGGCAATGTGGCTGGTGACAGCAAAAATGACCCACCAATGGAAGCAGCTGGATTCACAGCTCAGGTAACAACTTTTACAGTGGCAATGTTCTTACTGCCAGACTCTTATCCTTTGAGACTTACTAAATGTAAATCTTTACTTAAAGGTGATTATCCTGAACCATCCAGGCCAAATTAGTGCTGGATATGCACCTGTGCTGGATTGTCACACAGCTCACATTGCTTGCAAGTTTGCTGAGCTGAAGGAGAAGATAGATCGTCGTTCTGGAAAAAAGCTGGAAGATGGTCCCAAGTTCTTGAAATCTGGTGACGCTGCCATTGTTGATATGGTTCCTGGCAAGCCTATGTGTGTTGAGAGCTTCTCTGACTATCCTCCTCTGGGTAAGGATGACTTGGGTAATTAGGAAATTACTGAAGCTGGGAAATAATTGCTTGTATAGAATCTGATGGTAATCTAAAATTTGTTTTCATAGGCCGTTTTGCTGTTCGTGACATGAGACAGACGGTTGCTGTGGGTGTCATCAAAGCAGTGGACAAGAAGGCAGCTGGAGCTGGCAAGGTCACCAAGTCTGCCCAGAAAGCTCAGAAGGCTAAATGAATATTATCCCCAATACCTGCCACCCCAGTCTTAATCAGTGGTGGAAGAACGGTCTCAGAACTGTTTGTGTCAATTGGCCATTTAAGTTTAATAGTAAAAGACTGGTTAATGATAACAATGCATCGTAAAACCTTCAGAAGGAAAGGAGAATGTTTTGTGGACCATTTGTTTTTTTGTGTGTGTGTGGCAGTTTTAAGTTATTAGTTTTTAAAATCAGTACTTTTTAATGGAAACAACTTGACCAAAAATCTGTCACAGAATTTTGAGACCCATTAAAACAAAAGTTTAATGAGAAATCTGTGTCTTCTTTTGGTCAACACTGTAACCTGGTACTATTAAGTTAAAGGAAGGGTAAGTTGCATAGATCCTGTTTTCTAATGTTAAAATATGCTGAAACTGAAATTTTGGGTAACATTTTTTTCCTGGGTGGGATCTTGGAGTTTTCACTTTGTCTAAGGGAAGGAAATGGTTAAGTACATAGTAAAAAGCTATGGGAAAAAGGTCGTTTAGTGCAACACAACTTAATGTAAGCAAAGAGTGACCACAAGACAGTCTGTACTATAAGGTTAAATTCTGTAATACCAAAGTTAATGTGTTGCATATAAAACTTATTTTTATCACTAGGGAGTAAACTTGATACATTGTCACATTTTAATTTCCCACTTCTTAGAGTGCTTAATTTCCATTTATAAATACTGTAAAGTAGTTCACCGAAAACAGGCATTCGGTGACATTCTTAATGGTAGAGTTAATTTTTCTCTAGATTTTAGAAGAAAGTCTAGCTATAAGTTTTCTACAGTCACATAAGAACTAGAAATCGACTTAAAATAGGAATTTTCATCTTTAAAAAGTTTGGGGTGAAGAGGGAACTGGAGATTAAGCCCAGTTTGAAGAGGTGTGATGGTCAGATAATACTCAAATTTGGACTGGAGTGTAGGGTAAGCTTTGTTTTTAGTTTGAAGTTATTTTGGAGGTTTTTCCAAGTGTCATTCCAAAAATGGAATATTGATAGTTGGAAATTAAAGATTACTGTGGTGATTTTATAATTGCATGTAGTAATAGATAAACTAATAGTATTTGGGTGATAACCATCTAATTTTTGGCATTAGATAGCTGGCAAATCACAGCACTGGTGCATTTGATAAAACAACTGAATCTTGACCATTTGAACTTCGTTCTCTGAGTAGGCTTTTTTCTTAATGGAAGGGGAATTCATCGGGCAGCTTGGAATTAAGGCAAAAAGCAGAGGACTACCTGGTAGGCAATGCTGAGTGAAATGCATACCATAGCAGCCATAGGCAATAGGAAATGACTACAGTTGAAAAGATGGGCATTTTCTAAGTTAGGTAATGGTCTTTTAATGATACTACCAGGAGCACTGATAAGGCCTGTAAATAAACTAATAAAAGGTTTTGTCCACAACTCAAAAGTATTTTTCACTTGTCTGCAAATGTGCTTACTGTTTTAGTGTTAGAGATGACCTAAGTAAGGTTCTTAAAAATAGATCAGTAAGTGGTAGCTGGCATAAGTTTTGAATGATGCTTTGCTCGAAGGGATTTGTTCCATGCTCTAAAACCAAACCAGAGAATATATCCCACTAAGCAGGATAGGAAGGAGAGTGGGGTAGTGTCCAGGAAAGTTCAGCTCGCCTAGTGTGCTTAACTCCATAGAACTCAATACAGATAATGACATTGATTTGAGCACCATCTACTGGTGGTCACTACAAATTCGTTTGAAACCTGAGATAAAAGGGATACAGCATTTTACTTCAGCTCTTGAGTTTTGTATACTAACTGCATTTTGTGTTTGAATTGATGAAAATTAAGCCAGAATGCCTCAAGCTGGTGTTTGACCTTCTGTTCTAAATTGGCCAGCTGTTGAGTTACCCATGTTTGTAAGGAAGCTCAGATGGGAGCTTGTTAACATTCGTCCCAGGAATTCTGGTGTGATTTCAGAAGATGAAACCGAGAAACTTTGCTGGTTTAGGAGTTAAAACATTGTCAGTAAGGCATATCTGATTTTTTTAGAAAACTATTTTGGTTAGTCATCCAATGCCCAGAATAGGCAATCCAAAATAAGTTTCAGACAGATCAGATCTCATTTTTTATACCCTTTTCCTTTAATACTTGATGTCATTTACTTCCCAAGAGCATGAGAATTCATCTGGTTAATGGAGTTACGTCTGTTAATGGTTATTGACTATACAGATGTGTAGAGTCCTTGATTTTAAGTAGCTTTCAGTATGGGGTATAAACATGAATATTACAGAAATGATTTTCATGTGTATTTAAGTTGAACCTCATTAACTTTTGCAGGTTGATTACAGAGCTCAATGCAAAACAAATATTGTGGCTCTAATATTCAGTTACCTGAAATGGGCAACTCTAGAAATGAAAAAGGGTGACGACAATTTCTTGTGTGTTAATGTGACTTTTTTGATAGGCTTTAGGTTGGTAGCCAAATGTTCACCTCGTTTACCACAAAATGCTGCAGAAATAGATTGAATCTGGAGTTAACCACTGTAGCTTGTAGGGGGTCAACAATGAGCTCTGTCTTGGAAGGAAGGGGGTGCATGTTTTAGTTGAGTAAGACCGTTTCACCCTTTTTTACCTTCCTGAAGTTTGGGGTTTTTTTTTAACCTGTTTTATAATAACTGATTCACTACCAACGCATAGGTTCTTTTCCGTCTAGGTGGTATCAGAGTCCTTTCCATTATTTGCAAGTCTCTGGGAATTTCCTTGACTTCTTAAAACCTAGAATTGAAGCCTAACAAAATCATTGTCTTAGTGATTTTTTTTGAAGAGGGAAAAGAATTGATGAAACTGCCACATGTTTTCTTGAAAGGTAATTGACCCCTAATCCAATGGAAATCTTTGGGAGGGGCCATATGATTTTGTCCCTTTAAAATTTTTGTGTTCCAAGATTCATTGCTTATGTACCACAACCAGTGCTCCATGCAGTATGTGCCCTCAATAACCATCACCAGGCTCACCTAACCTCCAACCCCCTCCCTTCCGATTTCCCCCAGTTTCACTTTTCCTTTCTTTCTAATGTCCTCCATTTTACTCCTTACGCTCCACAAGTAGGTTCTTTTGTTTTTTAAGCAACTAGGACCCAAATGTGACATCCATCAGTCACTAGCAAAAATGAGTGATGTAAGGAAAGTGGCATTGACATTGGACTGCCTTTAAAGGGGCATATGGGTCTCCAGAGTTTAGAGCTCTGGTTTCTGTGAGAGAGACCTCATAATAACAAAGGTAATGTTAAGTTAATGTTACTCCCAAGTAAGCAAAAAACAATAGGAAACTTTACTAAGCAATCTAAAGTATTTTTTAAAGTAATTTACATATTGTTAAAATTCACCCTTTCACACAATTTTGGGAGATTTTTTTAAGATGTTACCTGAGGGGTACCTGGGTGGCTCAGTTGATTGTCTTCAGCTCAAGTCATGATCCCCTGGATCCTGGGTTGAGCCTTGCGTCAGGTTCCCTGTTCAGCGGGAGATCTGCCATTCTGCCCTTCCCACCCCCATTACCTGTGTCCTCTCTTCCTCCCACCCCCCCAAAAAATATTTTTTTTTTTTTTAAGATTTTATTTGACAGATCACAAGTAGGTAGTGGGGGAGACAGGCTCTGCTGAGCAGAGAGCACAATGTGGGGCTCGATCCCAGGACTCCCTTGACCTGAGCCAAAGGCAGAGGCTTAACCCACTGAGCCACCCAGGCACCCCCCTCCTCCCGCCCCGTGTCCTAGAGCAAGAGAATGGAGAAGGGAATATCTGGCATTTTTCTCTTTGGTAGTAGGAAGAGGACTCTGTTTCATAAGGAAGAGAATTCAGATCCGGTGCCAAGAGCATGATAAATGACTCCAGTAGGTGATGGCTGCTTTAGCAATTCTGGAGGGATGTAGGGGGGAAAGTGATCATCAAACCATAGGAGAGAATGCTAAAGATAAACACATAGGGCAAAGGCAGAAATTATTTTACCTAAAGTATAAAAGCAAGCACAGTTTGGGTTTAAGGAAAGTAAAATGGGGATGCCTGCCACAGACTCATTGATTTTGGCTCAGGTCATGATCTCAGGGCTCTGGGATTGAGTTCGGGGTTGGGCCATGTGCTCAGTGGGGAGCCTCTGACCCTCCCCCTGCTTGTGTACTTACGCTCTCTCTCTCTCAAAAATCTTTAGTAAAATGATATTAACTGATGAATGGACAAATAAAATGTTATTAATATATCCATACAATGAAATATCTGGCAATAAAAAGTGAAGTACTGATATGTATTACAACATGGATCAGTCTTGAAAACATTATGCTACATTGTTT